GGATCCTGGTGATCAAAGACGGATCGGCCCTGGTCCGTCTCGACTCTCGAAGAGCGCAAGACAAACAAGCTAGCTCCATCTGGATCATTGTCGTTTTCCTGAACGGAAAATACTCCGAGTCTCAACGGGTAGCCTCCGAGGACCGTGTCGTATTCCTTCACTCTGCTTGACGTCTTCAGGCTCTTGTACATTTGGAAGCGCGGAAATGGTTGCAGACTGTATGTCCTGTTGATGGAAGTATCGCAGAAACCGGGTTGGATTCTTGCCGCCAAGTGCGACGTCCAATATCAGACCAGAAACGAGCCCTGTCGCCGAAGTTCTGGCCCATTGAGGCATGCTCTGTCACTCGAGGCTCGCAGATACGGCCAGGTCTCATCTCAAAAACAGCTAGTAGCGGACAGTTATTGCCAGATGAGGATTAAGCAGTATTATTCCAAAGAATAATACTTCAAAAGAAGATGATGCAAATGCCGATTGTTCACGTTTCGTCACTCATTCGCCACAAGATGCCACCGACCCAAGTTCCTGCTCGCTTTGGAACGCCAGAGTGCCGTGTAGACCGTTGAATCCACCGATAATTCGTGGAAGGGTCTGCGAAACTGGTAGTGAGGAGATAGCAGTGCGTGGCCAGGTGCGGATAGTTACTCAATCGAGCCGCCGTCCGCAGTACGCCAGGATCATTCAAGGCTCGATATGCACTAGAGCTCCTCAATTCCAAGTTCGAGTTTCTGCGTGAACAACGCCCGCCTTCAATCCGCGTCGCCCTTGCAGGAGGCCCGATGAGGAGGCCCTGATAGCGATGACGCCAGGCCAATCACTGACAACCACGACGGAAGAACGGCGGGTCGTTTCAGCGCAGCTCCTCTGAGTGAGGACGGCATGTCTAATTGGACTGTGGTGTGTCTCGCTGGGTAGTGCTGATTTCCCCGCGCTGCGGTATTCCTTTTTTTCTTTTTTTTTTTTCCTGCCTCTCACGCCTCTCAACTGTCCCGACCTGGCCAAGGCAGACTCCATATCGAGCTGGGGTGGAAAACGCCATTACCATAATACCAAGGGGCGTTGGCAGAATGAAGCTGAAATGCTGAAGGAAGGATGATTCGGGTGTCCATGGAGCCGGTACGGCGAAACGGCCGCGGTTTGCTGAGAATGGTACGGAGTACACACCACAGTTATCAATGATGACTGCCATCCCATTCCCATCCCAGGGCATCCCGATTCTAGGCCCAACTATCGGGCGACACCTCGAGTGTGGTGCTGTTTTACTGGCCTGGCGTCTAGTGTCGTCGGCTGGCGTGGTGTGGCGATGGCAAGCCAGCAGGGCTTCTTGACTCGCTCACCGCTTCGGGTACAAGACGTGGGGGACCTGGGCTTCGTTGACCTGGGCGTCCCAAGTTCGAAGCGGCCGGCGCCAGAGATGACCGGTCACAAAATTCTGGTGTGAAGTTTCGTTCGCAATGCCAACTCGGCCCTGGCTCTCGGCCGGCTTCGTTTCCAGAATAGTTCACGACGGAGTACGGAGTAGTGTAGATAGCTGTGGCTCCGCGCCCGCCCCGCTACCAGTGCCCGCCGATTTTGAGGTTCTGTAGCACGACAACGGGCTGAGAAATGGGCCATCGCAGACGATGAGCAGAGCCATGCATGCCAGTCCAGTGCATTGCAGGATAAGCGCAGGGCATGTGCAGCCAGAGATTCTCAAGATAGCAGCGAGAGCCGGTGAGATGGCTGGGTGGCTGCGCGGGACCTATTGCGGGCAAAAGCAGCACGGGACGAGCTGTCATTGATGTTGTGTCTCGTCAGATGGCTGCGAGCCTGCGACAGGCGTGACCAGTGGTGAGGCCTACGCGCTGCAAGGATGCGGGGATTTTGACAAGGCCCCCCCGGGCGATGGACAAATTGCTTGCATGGAAGCGAGTGAAGGGCCGCAGAGGGGATCTGTGGATTGAGGTCTGAGATGCCATCACAGTTGCATCCGTATCCGACGTTGAGAGTTGAGTGCCAACGTAGGGATCGTGTACTTTGTAGAGAGCACTGGAGCGAGCGTTGCAGAAGCCAAGGCGGTTGGACTTGCACTTGCACAATTGCACTTGCACTCGAGGGCATGTAGAGTCGGGTTGCAGTCGCAGTCGGGAACTGTGCGCCGAGTGGCATCTGGCTTGTCCACCGAGCTTCACCTTTGCCCTCGAAATACCTTAGCGGGCGGTAGGTGGCTAGGATGAATTGGTCTGTACTTTGAAGTGGTCTAGCTCTTGCGCAAGAACAGGCGCAGCACCACGACCTTCCTGAGGTAGCGTGCTACAGGTACGTGTTCGCAGGTTTTGGCACGGCCGTCCTTCGTCGTACCGTAACGGACCGGACGTTGGGTGTCCGAAAATACATACAGCCAGTGATGACGGGTGGCGATGGGGACTGAAAGGCTGCGAATGAGGTCTGTGGTGAACTTGGAACGGTGACTGCTACACGTGAGCAGGCGTTGATGTGTGGGTTGATTGACGCTTGATGGATTTCATGGCTCGAGGTGAGGATATTCGACGTTGTATTCGAGGGTGGTTGGCGGCGGAGGAAAACGGGATGGGACGAGGATAGAGGAAAATTACCTAACTGACTGTGTACTACGTAAGGTACGTACTGCATGGAGGAGACGTCGACATCGAGACGGGAGCGAGTGGGGCATCTCATCAGGTACGTACCCATGACTAAGGAACGGGACGTACCCTTGCCCAACGCTCCCCTTCCTTCTCCTTCCCGTCTCCTCACTTAGGTTCACCGGGCACGGGCTACCTTACTACGTACATAGTAAACCTCACCTTAACGGTTACCTTACCTAACCCTACCCTTTTCTTACCTTACCTTCCATTGCCTGCCGACTTACGGATATTCTTACTTACCTTACCTAGAGGTACGACTTGGATTGTTTTAGACGCGGTGGACTTGGCGCTTGCACCAATAGTCGGCAAGGGCGTCCTGCCTTCTTTGTTTCTTTTTTCTTTCCGTTTGTGATCAAATGAGGCTTGTTCTAGTGCTATGCAACCGCTGCGTCCGTGTCCTTCGTCCTCGGCACCTACACGTGTATTCGTAGTATCTGCGATTCGCGAATACCCAGGTACCTTGCTTGCCGCAGGTAGTAGTCGTGGGTACGGATACTTTACGCCGTAGTGTACCGTAGGGTAGTGTGGTAAGGTTCCTTGGCTTCACGATGGAACCGATCATGACTCTGTTGCGAAGATTTGATGTTGCAAAGAACGCGGGATTCCGGCTTGGGCTGGATAAGCAGTTGCCGTCCGTTTGTTTCCGCCGTCAAAACTTGGTCAGGTATGCAAAAAAGATGGGTTGTGTCTGCACAATTGAGTTTCAAAAAAATGATACCAATCGCCCAAATTAGAAGCATTCGAGTCCTCCCATCTCCGGACCGAGCAACACCCGCAGCAGCAGGATGGGATCCAACAAGACTCGAGATGGATCCTGGATTACTTCCCTGCGGGATGCGTGCTGTCCTGTGCTGTGCTGTACACTACGGTCGTTGAACGTTGCATTCTGCATTTTTGCAGGCCCTGCTTCTCCTCTTCCCCCTCCTCTCCCCCTCTCTCCAGCCTCTCTTCCAGAATCCCCCTCCCCCGTCCCAGCCCAGGTGCCTGCGGACATACTAGAATCTGCACGAGATCTATCTTTTCACGTTGCTGCCGGGGTCTGACCTTTTTCCGTGCTGCACCTCGATGGAATGGGGCAGCTACAGGGACAGAGGCACAGAGGATGGTCTCACTCAATCCCGATGCCCATTACAATCCCAGCAACATCAACGGTGCACAGCAGCCAGGGCACCTAATCCCACACCCGCCATGGTTTCTTTTCCTTCGTTCCTTTCCAATGGCCTGCCTGCAGCTTGCCGACTAGGCAGTTGTCTATCCTCAAATGTTTCCTCTGTGGAGGTTGCGGAGGTGGAGGAAGAGGGGGGGGAAAGATAATCATGCTGTCCGTCACTTACAAACCAACCGTTCTAAACTTACAGCGACCATGAAGCCAGCCTGCCTCTGCTTATCGTGGCTCTGCTTTAGCTCAGCCTGGAGGAAGAGGGCTTCTCGATGCTCATTCGCCCTTCCGTTTCAACACCATTCCTCAAGCCCCCGGTGTGTTCCTGGGTCCTCCTTAACTAACCCATGTGCATGGCTGGGTCCTAGAAGAGCCCCCTCCATAAACGGCCACGAACCTTTGGTCAGAAATCAGCGCAGAACCACATGGCACCATCCAGGCCATACAATCCGCTCTCTGGGAACCCAGCTTGGGCAGCATCACATCAAGCCTGCTCAGTGTCTCCCCATGCTGACTGGACGTCGAAACAGACAACTGGTCAGAGCAATTAAGATGAGGCTGTTTAGGCTGCCCGGATGCCTGTAAGTGTACAAGGAAAGAAAAAGCTCCGAGAGGATCGGTCGGTGTCTTGGTCGACCCGACAAAACAAGCCCTGTCTTTCTGTCTCTCTCTCCTCCTCCGAGTCTGTCTGTCCCGGTTCCGACTCCGACTGCCTCCACAGTCCACACGCTGCGATCCGGCGACGGTGACAGCCGCGCTGCATCCGTGGACTCGTGTCGTTGGATTTCCATGTTGATGATCCTCGATGGGTTGTCACTCCAACTCATCCTCGGTCGTTTGTTTCGAACCTAGACTCTATCTATTCTTTCCCTTCTGCCATCCCACCTCGTTCTCGTCATCGGCATCCCGAAGGCCCTTGTGCAACCAATCGATTGCAGACGGATAGATCAAGGAACAACATACACACACTGCCCTGATGGACGATACAGTCCCTGGACCTTGTCTTCTGGGTGTATGGTGTAGTGTACGCTCCACAGATTGTGTGTGAGAGGGAAAGAAAGTGTGTGTGTGTATGCCGTACCTGACCGGACTTTACCTGACGTAAGGTAAGCTTCCGTGCCTGACCTGAGAGGCTAGAGTGGAAGAAGGTCCAAGTCTGTCCTTCCACGTTGCTATTCCCAGCCTTCTCCCGATGCCGCCATGATCCTCTCGGGTCTTCTTCCACGTCGCTCACCTGTCCTTCTATCTGATCCAACCCAACACCAACGCCAACACCGCAGCCAACGCCGGTACACCGATATCAGCACCAAGCACCAAGAACCAAGCACAGCACCGACACCAACAGCAACATACCGCTTATGCCAGGCTAGCCAGTCCCATCCAGCCAAGTCAAAATTTAGAAACATCACAACATCCTCCAATGGCTACCCGCAGACGCTCAGGTACCGCAGGACGCCATGCACACTAGACACAGACACACAACACACGCTCCTTCACTCACACACACCCCTCTTTTCTTCTCGTCTGCTCACCCCCCCTGTTCCTGTTCCTGTTTCTGTTCCTGAGTCTCTTCCACTCACCTCTCTCTCTCTCTCTCTCTCAGTCTCAACTCTCAACTCCTCACAATTCTCCCGCTCAGAAGCCAAGCCTTCACCCGCCCGCCCTCGTCTCGTCTTCTTGTCTTCACCCCTCCCCCCCTGTTCATGGACCCCGACACACAACTCATCCTCCGAACGCTCCACCCAGAGATCCACCTCTCCACTGTCTTGAACCTGATGCGTTGTGTGCAGCTCGGTTCGTTCGTTTCTTCCCACTCGTCACGGACGGTTTCTCTTGACCACAGACACCACCACACTAGGCACAGGAACCCGCAACTGACCACCACCATTCTCTTTGGCTCTGCTCATACACATTCTCACGCACACACACACACTTACTCGCTCTCAGCTTCTCGCCTCCCCCCTCCTCCTACACACGCGCACACCACACTAAAGGATCTCGACATCCTGTCCTGCATCACGGATCATGGCCACACCCCCGGAAAGGCCCCATAATATCCTTGCGGGATTATTCACATGCCGTCGTTCCCAAGCGGGTGCACGGTTGTACAGCTTATCCCTACCCTGTCTCTCAGTCTCTCCAAGCACACTCTTCCTCGCCGTACGGAGTATGCACCAAGTTGTGTGTACATGTCTAAGTGCGTGGTGTATCCGCACATCGTAGGTGCGTGGCTGCAAAGGTGGCCCAAGGTGCCACCGCCCGTCAATCTTTACATCGTTCCCATGTCAGTGCTGCCGCAAGTGCCGCATCCAAGGAAACCAGGTGCTCTCTACTACGTTTCCCACACCTACATGGCAGCCATATACATAACCCCAGGACAGCCGCCCACTATCTTCGTATTCGATCTCCGCGAGCCTCTCTTCCTCGTCTCCAACCCCTTCCCTTCCCTTACTTGAAGGTCTCCAGCATCAACCGGCTCCCAACGTCAATCTTGGAGTCGTGGAACCTGATCTCTGGTCCGTCTGTCATCCTGACCTGGTGCCGAGATCATTCACCCAAACTGTTTGTCACCCTTTCCTATAATCTCTTATTTTCCTTGAATGTCTATTTGTCGGTTTATTACTATTACGGAAGAACCCAAAAGCCCAGTGGTGCAAGTTGTCCATGGCGCTCGGCACCATTTGAATACTGGATTGTAATACGAACATTGGGTTGTTCCATTTATTATATCGGGCTGGCCCATCCACGCCGAAACGGCATATAATACCTACTGGACGATGTCGAGGACGAAACTGCTCTCAGCGGTGGTTTGGCTTTCCAGCCTCTCATTACCTACCAGAGCCTTTATTCGAAGAGACGACCTTACCGATTTCGAAACTGGAGAGGAAAGACAAGGCAAGGGCAAGGGCAAAGGAAAAGGAAAGGGAAAAGGCAAAGAAGGCGTACCGAATGTTCCCGTCACGACACCCGGACTCGACGCCCTGCCTACAACCGGTACCGATCCTGCGCCTGTCCTCGGGCCTGGGACGAACAATGGGGATCCAAACAATCCCAACAATGGAGGTGTGACCTGGCTCAACCCTGGCACTGAACACTCAGTCTGCGATGCCTTCACCCATCTGCCGTTTTCATCACACCGACGATCTCATCCGAGCCCCCGCCTTACCTCACCTGACTGACTCTTTGGACACCTCCGGACATTTCCTTTCCGTTTTGCTCTCATTTGACTTACATACGAATTGGATAAAGAGCTAACACATCTTCACAGCACCTCCCCATAACGAGGAACCGCCCCCTCCTCCTTCGGAAAACCCTCAGGTCCCGGAAAACCCTCCAAATCAGGACCCCCCTCCACCCCCTCCCCCACCAGAGGAACCACCGCCGCCGCCGCCTCCTCCAGAAGCGCCGGCTCCTCCGCCTCCACCCCCGGAGACCACCGCACCGCCGCCTCCGTCTCCCCCGGCGCCTACCACCACCTCGGTTGAGAGTCGAAGGGCAACGACAACCCCAAGATCTAGTCCCTTAGTCTCAACTTCGAGACCTCCGGTGCCATCGGTCTCGTCTTCTCCAACCCCAATTCGCTCGTTTCCTCCACCGGTCTTTTCACAGCCGAGTGCACCCCCGCCAAACTTTCCCCAGCCGTTTCCGCGACCAAGTTCAACACCAAAGGTTTCTCAGTCAAGCTCAACGACATCTCTCATCGTTGTACTTCCGCCGCCAACTTCAGTTCCACTGACCACGTTGCCGCCACCTGCTCAGCCGACTGATGCTGGGAGCAGGAGTTCGAACCTGCCGGCGCCAGCTGCACCAAGCTCAACCTCTTTGACTGACCAGCACGGCGCCATGAGCGGAAATAAATCACAGGGTATTGAGGGCAACCGTGGCCTTGTGGTTGCTCTGAGCACTGTACTCTCTGTGCTTGGAGTGATCATTATTATCGGGGCCATCTTTCTCTGCTACCGTTACCGCCGTGGCCGCCTGCCATTCAGCCGCCGGGGCAACAGCCCGATTGATGACGAGGAGATCGAATCGTGGAAGGCCTGCCGGACAATTGAGAAATGCACGACCGTGGTCGTGGATAAACATGACTCGGCTGGTTCTATTCGCAAGCCAGCTAGCGTGATTGTCTATCAAAATCACAACCAGCACCAGCCGCGCCCTTCTACGGATACCGCACCTCGCTCTCTGTATCACAAGCGGAGCATGGACAAGAAGAGTATTGATATCCCTCAAACTCCCGTTCTCGCACGAGCCCCAAACGCCCGCGTTGGCCTCACTGACGACGCTGTCGAGGGTGACCTCGCCTTCCTCCCATCCCCCAAGCGACAGAACTCCAGACTGTCCAAGTTGCCGTCTCCTCGTCATGGCAGACATCGCAGCTCTCGCAGCAGCGCGAGTGTCGGTAGTCTGCGCGAGCATTGGTATGGCTACCACACCGACACGGAAATGTCTCCCCGCCCTTCGGTGGATCCTTACTCCCGGATGCCTTCTTCGGCACACTCGGATGGGAGGCACCAGCGGGTTTACTCGTCTCCCTCGAACCCTCCGAGGCTTTCACTTGATGAGGAATATCACATGGGTGGCCTCTCCCCACGCCCTTTCCTACGGCAATCAGAAATTGGTCTCGCAGTAGGCTGAAGTTACGATTCACGATTCTACGCCGGCCTATGAGATTTCTCTAACGCCGAGCCTTGTCTTACAACCAACCTTTACGATTCTTGCACGAATTCCTTTGCAACGAACCCTGCGGATGACAGGAGCACGCCACACGCTAGGCTACGACATTCGTTTCAGCCCTCGCGCTCTTCCCGCGGGACTGGAGAGAAGTGCGGGGTGTGCTATCGCGCGGGACTTTTTGTTTCATGTCCCGAAGGATGGCAGCATATCTCAACTCCCCATGTGGCTTAAAACCATCACGAGGGTGGTGGGTGAGGCCAGCCATATCAAACTCAGAATGGAAATTCATGGCTCAACAGTCCTCCCCGCCACCATTACTCTTCCGGCTTCCTTCGCGATACCCTCTTCACAGTGGCATGCAAGGCCCGGTGGACGCATCTAATGCGACCTAACTCCCCTCTCATGTTCCTCTTAAGTGAGCGAGCACCATGACGCTTCATAATTGCCATATCTGGCAAGAAGCTTCGATGTCTGAAACGACATCTTTTCCCCCTTTAATGGTGGCTCATTGGAGTCACTCATGACGGAATGGTGATGGATATACCCACATGACAAACGGTCTACTTACAGCTGCAACGCAGCTCATTTTCTATATCTTAGTCTCTAAATACTTCGCCGGCCAACCAAACTTAGCCCCGAAACAAATTCAAATACAAGCCATATACCAAAGTGTCACGGTCTAGATCTCAGCGTGATTTGCGTGTTGTGTATGAACCCGAGGTGAATCGCGCCTGTGGCGAAATGAAATCGTGGACTATTTTGAGAGGCCACAACGAAGAGGTTGTCACAATGTCAGAACGGAAGCTTTTTGCGTGCGCGAACGGTAGAGCAGAGCGCGGTCGCTCTGCTCATCATCCCATCTTTAGGCAGCAACCCTCACATAGACGTCGGCCACGCTGCTGACAAGACCCAAAAGTTCCCAAGAATCGCTGGTGAAACGCGGAACAAGGAGCATGGGGGTGAGAGGTGGTGCTAGGTACTCCCACCTCAGCAACCTGAAAGAAGAGAAGAAGACCTTTCAACACAGATAGGTGCCGGCACTTGACCGACTGACGGGCGGGAGGGAAGAGGAGGGGAGGGGGGAAAGAAAAGCAACATTTCGTAGCCAAGGTTTCGATGACACTGTGGTGTCGTGTTCTTGGTTTTCTGTCTTTGCTCGCCATCTCCCCCCTCTCCCCCCTCTTCTCCCCTACCACGGCGCTGGCCACATTGCGACACCTGCCATCCCAGGATGACGGGCACGATGGCAGGCGGGACAGGTGAAACGCGAATGCTCTTTTTTTCTTCTTCTCCTTCCCCGCCGCGGCGCCGGCGTGGGTGTTGCAACACAAAATTGGCACATCGGGGACGAACGCGAACCGACGGGAGGAAGTCTGGGAGAAGGGCGGGGAAGATGTCCGGTCGTGGGTATGGGGGCTATGAGGTGAAGGACCTGTCTTTGACTTTTGAGTGGTGTCTTCGCATTTAGATACAGAAAGATGAGATGCCTCTCTGCCTCTTTTGATCGTCACAACTTTGGTTGGTGAACGCCACTATCAACTTGAAGGAATCGGATGGAAGTTCGTGAAGAGGGCTGTGGCGTGTCGTGTGTATTTGTCGGTTCATCATTACCCAGACCGAGTTGGTACTCTTATACATCGCACATTTACAATTCTTTCATTCCATCTTCTTTACTTGGTTTGTATTATCCCCTCGTCGTTATGCAAATTTCATTCGTCGGGAAAAAGGAAAGCTATCCATCTTCGGAGATAGCGGGAGCGGCTGAAAGGAGACAGAATCCTCATCCCTCGGATGTTTCTTACTTTTCACATCTTTCCTTTCGAGTCTTCTGACACCTGTCATGACGTTTTTTTTCCTGTGGCGTAGTTCACCTCGGTTTCTGATGCCTGGACTCTTTTCTCCGCGTGCGCGCGTCTTCTTCGTGTCACATCTGCGGGTTCACGATTTATTTCGGATGTTTGCGGGGAGGAGGGAGAAACATGGGAAGCAGGGGGGAGGTTGTATGGAGGCGAATTTCCGAGCTTTTGGGAGTGTGCGATAGTTCTAGAATTCGTACGTTGGGGCAGGACGAATCGGGGACGGGGGTTACGGGAGGTGTAGTGCGAGGTGTGAATAGCAGGGTCAGGGAAGATGCGAGGTGTCTTGCCATCCCGCTGCTATTGGGATGTACGTTGATGGTTGGAATGGTGATGGGCGGTGATGTGACTTGAGTTGCGTCGAATAATGTTGGCAGGCCGAGGCCAGTGTGATAGATGGATGTGGGTGAAGATGCCGTTCGTTCTTCTTGACTACCTTGCCATTGGAGAATTCCAAGATTTGGATTCCTTGTGAAGAACTCGCTCGTGATTTTAGACTCTTCTCAAGCTACCAGGTAAGTACGTTTGTAAGGTACAAGCCAGTTGCCAATAAACAGTTTACTTCAGCTTGGATGGCTCTACTGGGCCCAATCATGGCGAATACCTTTCAAGACGTAAAATGATGTTTAAGACCGGGAATTATAGGAACTACAGTCTGAGTCATTCCTGCTCACATTGATTAGCAGTACAATGATGAGTGAGTGGAATGAGTGAGTCAGTGCAACGAGTAGTGAGTATAATGAGTGAGAGTGTTAGATGAGAACGGTGAGTGAGTGAAGCCATGAGATGAGAGAATGACAGATGCACTTAACGCGTCCGCTCCTAAAAGCGGGTCCAGATCGCGTCCACTGGACCGCAAGACGCGCTGACCAACGACGACAGCACACCTTAACCACTCGTTGTCCTGCCCACCGCTTCGGGAGCCGTCTCTTGAATCTCGAAGGGTATTGATTCCACCTCATCTGGCAGCAGTGAAAGGGTCTTCTCGGCTACTTCGAATATCTCAATTGGCCTTATTGCAGCAGCCTGGCGAGCTTAAGTATCCCCTGGTCCATCGACAAACCGCGGCTCATCCCGAGGGGCTTATCGCATGTTCCCTGCACATGAAAAACTTCAACATCTCGACTCACGGCCAACAAAATACAGTGAAAGACACAGCTCTTGAGGCCGTAAGGACGGGATCGGGTACTACTTCATCGAACCCACGCGAATTCAGGAGAAGGACGAGGCTTTTGAGGCCATCAAGCTCAGGAAAAGGGTCCAGGGGTGGTGTATGGAGTACAGATACAACTCCATTTCCTCTCATTCCTTCTCCACAATAAATCCCTCCTAGCACCCGCTACCTCATTACCCGACTCAGTTCTCGACCCTCGACCTTCTCACTCGCTCTCACAAATCATGCCTCCGCGCAAAAGCGACGCGAGCCGGAGAAGCGACGTGTCCAACGCCCGCTTCATCGTAATGGACGAGGAACCTTCCGCCTCCACCACGCCGGCCAAGGCCGCGGCGGCACCCGCTACCGCTGCCCGCGCCGCCGGCACCCCGTCTTCAGCATCCGCGGCCAAGCCCTCCTCAGCGACGCCGTCCAGTGTGCCCGCGCCGACGCCCGACTCTGCCGCTGCCGCTGCAAAGTCCACGCCGGCGACAACGGAGAAGAAGGAGAGCCAGACGCATGACAAGATGGCCAAGGCGGATAGGGATGCTCTCACCATCGAGGTAAGAAGGGGAACCCCGTGTGATGCTGGCGACAATGTGCTGAGCTTGACTAATTGTTATAATGTAACCCGTAGGATCTCAGCTTGCCCAAGTCCATCATCACCAGGCTGGCAAAGGGTGTCCTCCCGCCTCAGACTCAGATTCAGGCCAATGCCGTCTTAGCCATGGGAAAGAGCGCGACGGTGTTCATCAACTACCTAGCTTCTCAGTGCGTCAAATCTCTCTCTAGTCACTATCAGATTCTTTGTTCAAACAGGCAGCAATGGTGTCCAGGAGCAGAGTTCATCTTTGTCTTGCATGTGTGAAGCTAACATATATTGTGATTCCTAGTGCCAATGAGATCACAACAAATGCCGGCAAAAAGACCGTCAGCGCTGAAGACGTCTTCAAGGCTCTGGATGACATCGAGTTCGGTTTTCTGCGAGAACCATTGGAGCAGGAGTTTGCCAGTAAGTTTGCCCTATTGTTTTGCCCTTGTCACCACCGAGGACGTCCTTCAAAAAAAATGTCAATCTGGACATCGCTACTCTATTTCGCTCATCTCAATGACGCGATGAGAGACGTAACCACCACTTACTTCAATCTCAGAATATACCCAAATCCAAAACGCAAAACGCACAACCTACCGCAACAAGGTGGCTGCCAAGAAGGGCGGTGCCGCAGCCGGGGCAGCAGGCACAGCATCAGCAGATGTGTCCCTTCTCTCCAACCCCGACGACAGCGTCATGACCGCAGCATCCACAGACACCGCCCCCCGCTCAAAGAAGGCCCGCGTAGACGACTCGGCCATGACCGTGGACGAAGAGGCCGATGACGCAGAGACGGAGCCCGAGGAGGAGGCCGAGGAAGAGGAAGACGAGGAGGCGGACGAGGAAGAGGAAGAAGAGGACGATGACGAGGACGAGGAAGGGAGTAGTGAGGAGATGCACGATGCGCTGGAGACGAAGGAGGGCGAGGGTAGTGACGTCGATGAGGCGCTGGACGGGGACGAGAGTGACTAAAGTCTCGTGGTTAATCTCCTATTTTGGGGTTGACGAAGAGAATTTCAATATTCGTCAGGAGGACATGAGGTTACCTAGCGTGATGAAGGCAAAAAAAGAACGGGCTGCAACGGGGAGCTTCAGCCCCGGTTTTGGGTCATGGAAGGAAAGTAATGCGAATGATTCTTTTGATAATACACATGGTTTCGTGCAAAGACGCCTGTGAGAGAACGCGATGTTGGTGCCCCTTTGTCATTCGTGTTGGCAGGGTGTCGGCTAGGCATGGACTCTCGGCCTCTTCGTAAGAGCCGGCGAACGATATATCGCGGCGGCCCGGCCCCCTTTCCTCGGAGATTCGCCTCTCAGTACCCCCTAGATCACGGTTCATCTGTAACGGAGGGAAACCACGCTCTCAAAGTCTGCTACTAACCTACGAACCTCCATGCCGGTAGGCTCATCGTCCGTTCAAGAATCCTTTCTGTGGGAAGACTGTCCACCCTATTAGCACTCAGGTGTTATGACTTCAGCCTCATCCCAGTAAGAAGAGCAAGAATTAAACGCGTGTATACGCCACCTCTACAAGAAGCTCTTTACGACAGCAACTATCAACAATCAACATGATAAAGGCTCTAGTATATGCGTGGAAAGCAAGTCATGATGTCAATAGGATACCAAGGGCAGAAGAGGCCGATGCTGTTACTCAGAGATTATGGAACCTATTTCCCACCAAGGTTTATAATTGGGGGGGTTTCATGGTAATATGTCGTACGTACGAGCCGTATACCGTATTCGCCTTCCAGCAGCCTCGAAAAGAGAAGCGTACATCAACGTCATGATCACGCCGTCGTCGGTATCAGTAAGCATTGAGGGTTGCAAACGCCGACTGTAAAACATCTAAGTCCTAACTCGACTGCAAGGCACCATGTTCCGCCTCTTCAGATGACATGCGGGAAAAGCAAACAATAACCCCATATCGCATTTCCCTCATCCTCTATGATGCTTGTATCACACGTACACTTCTTTAACACACAGACACCTGAACATGAAATACTGCTCAAATCGGCCATTTGATCCCATCTTTTCTGTTTGGACCTCTTTTTTGTTTCCGCCCTTATCGCCATTCCTTCTGCAGCATTTCCTAACTTGGTGTTTCGATGGACGGTGCACTCTTTCATCCCCAACAGTTCCTCCGGCTCGCCCCTGTTCATCGCTGCCCATGTCCTATCCCATTGCCCAGCCTTCCTCTTTTACACATGAGAAGGAACCGGGGGTTGGGAGATTAGGAAGGTAATAAGAGCCACCATATCTCCTTACCACAAAGACGAGACGAAACGGAAAGCAAGAGCAAACAACCCTCGTGCACTTGAAGTCACATAGTAGAACCTATCGCAACTTCGGAGGCGGCTGATCAATAGTAGGAAGGCATGTCGGGTCCGACGAGGCTTCCGCTTTCGCCGGGCGGTTATCTCATCTTCAGCCTTGCCGCCACACTGACTCCCATCGAGTCCGTTGCAATTCATCCTCGCCAACATCACCCCACTACCATCACCACACGCCACCACCTTTCCACCAAAACACCCTTCATCATAGATCCTCCCATCTCTCTCTCTAGCTCGCGCGCGCGAGCGGCACCCCACACCTCAGTTTTCCACTCCGGATCTCTGGGCCTCAACCCACCCTCTCGAGCGTTTCCATCGCCAACTCTCACACACAGCAAACGCACACAGGGTCTGAGGAAAGATCTTACACCTCACCACAGCGGCGCGGCGCTTCCATGAGACATCCATCGCCAACGGCTTTCCCTTCAGATTTTCATCTTATCCTTCCCCGAAAGTCCCGAAGACGTGGTTCTCTCTTTACACATTCGTCATGCCTCTTTCTCTACGCATTCGCACATTCTACCCACATCTCTCCCAACGGCCTCCCCCCAACCCCAACCTTGTTTTCCGCCTGAGGAGCCGCATCTTCGGTATCGTCAACTTTCATTATACCCTCCCACACGTCCTTGCTCTCTTACTTCTCCCCAGGCAGCTTTTTCCTAATCGCGTATTCTTTCCCACACCTTTCCGGTCACACTTTTCACCTAACCTCCCCCAAACAGAGCATGCGCCAAAAGGCGCTCCTGTGACTAGTATCCAGGGGAGAACTCTATCAAAACCTCAAGGCTCTTTTTTGCGCTTTTTCTTTTCTTTCTTTCTCTTTCTTCTCCCCCATTGCGAGAGTTATGGAAAATGTAATCCGTTCTTTTCGGCACCTTGGATCGGCAGTTATAAACCCCCCGTACACGAGAAAAGTATCCTCTCTTGTAAACCATTATTGAGATTAATATTCGAAAGACACGGAGCCGAATGTCTGAGAAAGTCAACCAGAAATTACTGATAGACAAAGAATCAATCGTCCAACCACAGATCAAGAGTAACGAGGGTGACCGTGGTGTAAGAGCACATAGAGAACAGTGTACACCATCTCGGCGCCCTGTCCCTCCCCTCCCCTCCCCCTCCTTGAGTGCTCCTCCTCCATCTCTCCCCGACCCCCTTCATGAAAAGAGTCCGAACTAGTTACCCAGAGCAAACCCATCCTTCATCAGGAAAACGGGGAGGGAGGAGGTAGTAGAGGACGAAGAAGAGGACCTTCGGCTTTGGATTCTAATCCTCTCTTCCCCCGGCCGAGAGGGTTGAAAAGGGGGGAGGGGTGCTCTGCCTCAAGGCACGTGTGAGAGGGACACTCAAAGAGAGAGAGAAAGACTAGACCACATGTCCCAAAACATCCCACATCACATTCATCGGTTAACCTTCTTCCATCACCTTGAACCATCTTCCCGTGGATCCCGGACGACAGAGGCGATGTGGAAGGAGAACCTACCATACCTACCTACATAGTACACACCTCAGAATACTGGCGGTAAAGCGGCAATGATCTGTTCGTCGGGGAGGAGGGAGAAGGGAGGTGTACACCTAGGGACAGAAAGATCAGACACAAGTTTCCAAAACCTGCCCGCTGCAGAGAGTTAATGGACTGAAGAAGAGTACACAGACCCTTGTCTCACAACATGCCGGTCTTCGTCCCGATAACGAAGCATTCCTTCTACCATGGAGAAACTCAAAGTCACGACCAGATGGCACATGCATCCTCCGGGGCACGCTGTTACCGGTCACCCTCGTCCATGCTTTAAATAGTTGTCCCATCTGAGCCGAGAGAGAGAGAAGGGAAACAAACATACAGGCGCACTGCAGACGCAGGTTAGGCACTAACGTTGGTAGTAAACGTGGGCCGCAATCATGAAGGCGAAAAGAAAAACGTATTTGCATTAAAGAGAAGAAAATCAGAAAGCAGTACTATCCTCCAAATGTCCAAATGTGTCTCCAAACGGCCACCCCATCTCATCTCGTGTCCGCACCGCCCGCCCGCCCGTCAGTCGCGCAATCGAGTTGTACAATCAAGAAACAAGAAGAAAAAAAAAAAAAAGGGACCCCAGACGAACAAAAAAGCAAACGCGAGCCACAGGTGTTCGATCGACACGGCCCTCATGCAATCCAATCCCAGAGAAGCCTCCCTGCCACTGCCACTTTGCCGCGGAAGAAACGAAACAAATCCCACCCCGATGCCGGATCATGGCGCTTCCCGGGTTCCTGGTTAACCAAAACACTACGACCAATATCAAGTTTCACCCAAGAGCAATACACACACAACTCCATCGATGCTGCTGTATCGGCCGACACAAAGATAAAACAAGGCCAAAATCATTTGACCGCCGACGTGCAGACTGAAAAGGGTCCTCGCCCATGTCAAGTGCCCCCTCCAAGGACGACCCAAAGCGCTTTCGCTGTCTCTGTAAAAAGGGTGCACCCTAGATTGTGGATAAACCTTAAAACCATATTGTAACTTGTCGTCCACATGGTTCTTCGCTTTCGTGATAACCTTGACTCCCTGTCAGAGAAGCGCCCGGTCATACCTCATGGGCCATATCGATATCAGAACACACCAGAACACAAGTGTCCTTCAACGTGAGAGATGAGCTTGGTCTTAAGCATGAAAGCTCAGGCTCCAAGGATCCCAGAGAACTGACACTGTGTATGGCCTCGCGGCCACATCTTCCTGATTCGCTGAGATCAGGTGCTGCTGAGTAACGAGGCTCAATACTGCCATATTCGTCAACATTGCCGCGGCAGCTAATGTGGCTGAGTGATGTGTATTCAGTTTCGCGGCGATGTGAAAGCGTGGACGTGGTATTCGTGTGGTATCGTGTATTCGAGAAGATGAGAAGGACTAACTAAGACAGCTCGTGAAGCGAAGCGAATCGGTGATGGAGGACGGCGATGGTATCAAACTGAAGTCGGAGGTGCCCGTGTGCCAACGGCGAAAGAAATCAGAAACAGTCGAAACAGAAAAAAAGGTGTCCACGGGTGATGATGAGTCTGAAAGAATCGAATCCAACAATGATCAACAGAAAAGAAACAATGCATCCTCCCTAAGATGCCAGCAAGTTTGACTAAACCACGAATAGAGGCGCGTTACAGTGAAAAGACCCTTCCCTCCGCCGAGGACCTGAGCCCCCGTGTTCCTAGTTCCCCACTACTCCTCTATCCATCCTTCTCGGCCAAAATGCTGTACGAAGACTGACAGGCCCGCAGCCCAAAAGCACATAGCCTCCACCGAACTGTATGCTTGGGTATCCTTCAGAAGGGCAGCAAGGCTGCCAAACCGGCGAAAGCCAGGGAGTAACCGCCGCCTATATATATCAAAGGGACAAAAAAGTGTAGTTGACATAACGCTGTTTGTTGTAGAAGCGAATTCGCGACTTGAACGGGGTCATCGTGTTTCGACTCTCTTCTCCGGTCCTCATTGAGGTTGGTTCGACCACCATTGGGCTGGCGTTTGCTGGTTGGACCAGGCCTGCGTCACGGCCGGAGATCCCTGGTTCGGCTGGGGCATATACTGACGCGGGGTTTGGTCTGTCGGATAGATCCCTTGGCCGGCGGCCCCATAACTCTGTCCCATGCCTGGCATTCCCGAAAACTGCATGCCCGGCTGCACGCCGCTGGTTGCATGTCGCAGTTGGGGAGCTGGCGATTGCTGATGCGGCTGCTGGCCCTGTGTCGTGTATCCAGAGTAGTTGTGTTGTTGAGGAGTCTGCTGCGTCTGGGGCCACATTTGGCCAGTTCCTGGGTAGTGATAGCCCTGGGCACCCTGAGGCATGCTGCTCGCACTCCCGGCTGCAGGCAACGTCGTCGGCTTATTGTTCTTTTGGGCAGATGGCTGAGCCATGCCTCTCATTGGAGCCTGGCTGATGGGATTCTGCGCATGGATCGATTGAGAGTACGGTGGGGCTGTCATCATCATTTGAGGACTTTGGTTGGGCACGATGCCTGACTGCGACGGCATATTGCTCGCCGTAGTGTGCGGCGATTGTGTTGCTCGGGTAGCAGGAACGGCGGCTTCGCTGGTGGTGACATTTTGTACGAGATTCGTCGACTGGGGCTGCTCATGCGGCCTTCTCCAAATACCCTGGAGGTAGTCGCCTCGCATCTCCCGTTGCTGGTTGAGAGACCGGTTGTACTCGGCAGCGTGGTGGGCCTGGGCATGGACTTCTCCAATCTGAGCAGGTCGAGTTTGATCCTGGTAAGCCGGGCCGGTAATTTCCTGACGTGGACCTCCCTTGAGAATTCCGCTGTAGTCGCGAGGGCGGTTGTCATTGAGCTCTGATCCTAGTGTTATCACGGGCATCCTGGTCGTAGTTCCGGTTGGCGCTCCAAGCATACCTGGTTGGACGATTTGGGGTTGAGGGGCGCCGGGGAATTGGCTGGGTGTGTTGCTGTAGACGATCTCACCGTGAGGGCCACCCAGTAGGACCTGGTTCTGCGCCTCGGCTGCGGCTTCTCTGGCCTTGGCTGCTCCTGGACGCTTTTCGCCAGCGGGGTCGGCCTCTGTGAATCCTTGTTTACGGGCCTTTGTCTCCCAGTAATCATCCCGAACTCTTCGACCGTTGACAATGACGCGACTTCCAAACTGGCGGAACATGGATCGGGCCGTGACAATGGCAATTTGTCGCGATCTGTAAGAGAATGGCAGGATCTCTTGGCTGACGAGGTCGTCCTTCTCGGGTTGGCTGGCAATGATCTTGAAGAGCGACCTATTCTTGTTGAAGAGAAGGTAGGAGTCTCGGTATCCCAAAACCCTCGCGCATTCAGTCGCCAGCATGAAAAGCTTATCCCCACGGTTGGGAACTAAGAAAGTTCGGCATCTGTATTCGCGGCCGCCCAACAACTGGCCATTGGGCATCACCTTCTTCTCTCCAAACTCGTCGATTTCTCTCGGGAGGTACTCGTCGCCGGCGGGGTTCAGCTGGTCGGTGGTGTGATCTCTCACTGTAGGGAGAGCTTTCAAGGTAGTCTTTGTTGGTGTCGTCTTGGGCGGAGGCGAGGCCTGCGCGGGCGCGTAATTGACGGCGGCTTGACCCCCAGGCAGCGGCGCGCTCTGGTTCTGGGGGGTTTGCGGTGGTGGAATATTTTGAGGCATGTTGGCTACTGGGGCCTGACCGGCAGTCTCGGAAATGGCACCGGATGATTTGGACTTGGATGACTTTCCACGTTTTCTCGGGTTGGAGTCACCTACAAAGATACTAGTGTTAGTTTGTATCGCGTTGCGCGCGGCGGGGCAGGAAGCAAGAGGTTACACGCGCGACTGGTGAACAGTACAAGCATGATGGGGAAGAGTGAGATTTTGGATGTGAAGGACATACCGGCAATGCCTGCAGATGGATTTTCCTGGAAGTTGTCCGGGGAGCGGCTTCTTTTGATGCCGCGAGTGCTTGCGTTGAGCAGGTCTATACGATGATCAAAGCCGTCAGCATAATGTTATGGCAGGACAATTGTGGTAAGAAAGGTCATAGCCATGGCTCAAACAGGCGAAGGGGGGGGAGCGCGCAAGTGGTAGTTGCGCATGGAGAAATGGTTGCTAATCCGGCCAGGGCCTCGCAGTGGAATGCGATGACGGCTAGCGAGCAGGCTGGGTGGAGGCGGGGGGCTTAAAACTGTGGAGGGGGGCGATGGATAGCGAAATAAGCAACATACCAGGAGAGTTGAGGGCAGCCGGGTTGATTGTCGCACTATCAGCTCCGTTCGGCTGAGTGGAGTACATTGAGCGCGCAAACGTCTCCCGGTAGATTCGTCAGGACAAGATCAGGACAACGAAAGACGTGTCTTGATATAGTTGGATTGCCTTCCGGCCGGGTCGCGGGCGAGGGCGACACTGGGTCTGGGGAGGGTGCGTTGGGTGATGCAGGGCAGGCTTATGCGTGCATATGGTTGGCGCGATGCTCTGAAATGTCCCTGGCGGAAAAGTATGTCGAGTAACGACGGGTAGGGGGAGCGGCCTGAGAAGAAATCGAAATAGAAGCTTTTTCTTGCCTTTTGTTCGCTCTTCTGTATCCGTACCGCAGGACAGGAATAAGAGGGTTATGGGGGCGTATGGCTAAGGAAACTCTGAACTCTAGATGGAAATGCAAGAGTTGAGTTGCAGCGCCGGTACAACCAAGCCGTAGAACTCAATAGAGTATGGGATAGGGTCTGTGTCCTTGGGGCCTGGGGCGTGACGGGTAGGTAGGTTCTTTGGCGAGAGGGCCTGTGTGTAGCAGCTTTGTAAGATGTGAGGAGGAGAAGCGTGTGGCGAAGAGTTGCTGAATTTTTCCTCCTCTTGATTTCCACGCGGCGAGAAGTAAAGCAAGTGTGTCTTGCGGCGTCTGAATAATAAGAAACGGAGCTGTTGATGAGCCCTTGTCTACGTGAACAAGGCCGCGAGACGCAAAGAATAAGTGTGGGCGCAGAATCTGAAGGCTGTTGCCGGTGGAGATGCGCGCGTGCGATGGTGAAGGAGGGAAGATGATGGATGGTTGGTTGGAGTTCGCAAAGACGTCGTGTGGTAAGGTATACCTATGGTAATTACGGATAGGATAGACAGATGATGGATGGACGGGGAGAAGTGGGCGACCTGATGAGAACGGCAAGGTCGTGGTACGGAGGGGGAGGGTGAATGGAAGGTGCCTCGTCGAATCGTGCCGTCGTCGGGTGTGAAGCCAAAGTACCCTTCCCTGAGCAGGCAGCTAGACTGAAGAGCCTGAATGGTACTTTGAGGAAGTAAGGTAGAGCTGGCAGAGCTGGATGTACCTTTGGGTGTAGCGCGGCCTAGTCGGATGCTTGCGCTTGTCACTTGCAGCCGAATGCCCTTCTGGGCGACTTCTGTGCTCCTGTCCCCGCGGAGGGTTTGCGCGAGGAGTGTGTGTCTGTGGTAGAGAGGGGTGGGTGAAGAAAAACGCGACTCCCCAGCGAATGGAGGGGGTTTCGCAGCCTGGAAGCGACGGGGATTATCTCGTGGGCGAACGGAGTCGGCCAAGTACGATGACGATGGGTCGGAGTTGTCGATTATGTCGTCGACATCAGGGACGGCGACGGCGACAGGATGCTGGTCAGGGTCTCGGAGACAAGTAGACCAGGGGTTCACGGAGCGAGGTTATGCGACGCGACGGTATGCGATGGAATGCGACAGGATAGATGGTGGGAAGCTGAAGAGAGCGAGGAGCGAGGTGTGAGGTGCGAGGGCGTCGGTATCAACGGCGATTGTTAAGAGGCAAAGGAAGCGTCTGTCGGCTGCTTTGTCGCTGTATTATTGTTCGTACGCAGCATAACAATTTGCGAGGCAGCCTTGTGGATTTCTCGTGGCTATCTTCCGGTGGCGTTCTTGTCCTGAGTGTAGGTAGCCCTGCCTCAGTTTGTGCTGGACGCGTCTTGGGAAGCGTGTAATAGAGTGTCTCTGCAATTATCGCAGTGTTCGAGAAAGGCTGGGCTGTCCAATTTGCTCGAAGCTGTCTGTGTATTGGAGCTGGAGCTGGAGTTGGTGTTGGTGTGTGTGTGCCGCCTGTGTGTGTGTGTGTGTACGGAGTAGTATCTCTGACAGTGACAGAAGGAACTGGTGAACCCCGCGACCGGGAGAATGAGGGTCTAGTAAATCGCCAATGGCGGGAGGGATGAGGTCGGATAACGCGCAGCTAAGCAGGTCGCATCAGCAGGTGCGATGCGAGGTGATGGTGTGGGAAGCGGGCTGGAGCTTGGTCGATGCTAGAGCTGGGCTGGGATGGGCTGGTGCATGCGCAGAGAGAGTATCAGCAGAGCGAACAGAACGGAGTACGGATAGTGAGGCACTGTACCTACGCCTTAGTGAAGTAGCGACTAGCAAGAGCGGCGGCAGGTGCAGAAGGCAGGTCAGTTGCAGATGTCCCGGCGCAACGCGACGTAAGGAAGATGGGAAAGCTGGGAATGGAATGGATTGGACTGGACTGGGACAAGGTCTCCAAGTTTCCTGGCCGGGGGTGTGAGTGAGTGAGTGAGTGAGAAGGAGAGGGGTGGGGGTGTGTAACCTGGAACGTGTAGAGGGTGTGGCGTGGAAGGGAAGGCTACCGGGGGAAGGAGAGAATTGAGAGTCTTGAGATTGGGATTTGGCACAGCTAGGTACTTACCTTACCTACCTATGATGACGGTGACAGGGAACGTAGCTGGACCAAGGTACCTACCTGCCTTACTCCGTCGACCAGTCTCAAATGGAAGTCACAAAAGAATAGAAAATTCACCAAACCGAAGAACGCGCAGAAGCTGCCGAGACCCAGAAGGAAGGAACGGCGGCGACAGATGGGCGGCGTTATTCGGGTGTGGCGAGCATTGGAAGAACACACGCTTCGCACTTTCATGGATTTTCCAGCGGGGAGGCAGCGTGCGGCGGGAATTGGAAGGGTGGGGTGAAGAATGAAGTTGGAGCGGGGGTGGGTTTAGTTCAAGAATACGGAGCACATAGGTACAAGCCAAACGACGTGCGCGAGGAAGGCTCCGACGGGAATTTGGGAAGGCAGTGGAAAAGTGAAGGGAAGGAATGACTGGAGAAAAAAAAAGTCTTTTGCTTCCTTCCTCTGATGATTCCATCACAGCCAAGGAAGAAATTGACATGCAAGTGAGGTGGGTAAAAGAAAAAACGGGACAGAATTGAAGGTGGCAGGGGTGTGCCCCAGTTCACGGTTACGAGAAGCCAGCCAAGAAATCCAAGACAGCTTCATCGAGAAGTAGTAACTTGGACGTCGGCAAAGGGCGTGTAGTGTAAATGTGTTTCTGCATTTTGACATGTATTGCACTTGCACTTGAACCCAAGCAGGTAGGTACTGAATCCAGCAAGAACCTGGGAAAAGAGGCTTGACTTGACAATAGAGTACCGGTAGAGAAGTAAACACTATTCACTATTCAGACACATGTACTTAGCAACCGGCCTTGAAAGTTGAAGTTACAGATTGTAGTCATCACACGCTTCTCTAAACGGGCTCTCCTCCGTACGGTAAGGTATGAATGCAGGCGCAGGCGCAGGCGTGCCGCGTGCTGCGTGCCGCTTGCTTCGTGGTGAGAAACGGGAAAACGGTTCATTCATCAGCATGACCACTTTCTCCGACCCCTGCTCGATAATACGCAGTAGTATGCAGCCTGCTGGAAAAAGAGGAGCACATCCAACTCTGGGCCTGCCCATCTGGGCGCGTGGGCACGGACGACGATGATGCCAGGGAGATATTGACAGGGATGCCATGCACCAATACCGGCACCAGCATCAGCACGAGCAGCAGCGCCAGTATCAGCGCCAGCGCCAGCGCCAGCACCAACGCTAGCAATGGAGCAGAAACACAATAGAAGCTGCCCGGTTTACGTTGCCCTTCCCCTCTCTCCATGCCCTCGGGCTGGTAGCTAGGTAGTTTGACCGAGTTATTGCTTTGCGGCTTGCGAGTTGAGAGTTCCCATCGTCTCTGCCCAGACTAGTAGCCGCCGCAGGTAGTCCACTTCGCTTGACGGCCGGTCCGTGTTCGAGGTAAGGTGTTCCATTCGTACTCCTCCGTAGCGGCGTACGGAGTACACGCAGTCGGCAGCATGGGAGAGACAAGAGTCCAGCTCAGCTGGGGTCTTATGGATCTGAGACGGGGGGTCGGGCAGGCAAGTAAAAAAGAGAAGGGCAGGACATGGAACCGAACGATGTAAAAGAGGCTGTAGATACCCTTCACTGCCGTCAAAGCCACCTACAACAGAATACCTGGGAATATAGCAAACAGCCCAACGCCGCTTGACCCAATCCAAGTCAAGGAATCTTACTTGTAGGCACTCCGCCGACGTGTAAGCTACCTTACCCGATAGCTGTTCTCAATCGCGGTCCCCGTATATTCGTAATATGTTGGAAAGAAATCTACTAGACCAGGTACGTGTTCCGATCCATGGATATCTCTCAGCGTCCATCATCCGCTTCTGCATCTTACCTCACTTGGCTGGCGCCTGCATCTGTCTGACCGGTCGAACTAAGGTAAGCAGTAATAGAGCGATTAAGTGAGCGCGCCTTGCACGCGCCTGCATGATGGAGAATGCGCAGCAGCGCCGAGGAACGGGAAAGTCTGTCACGGTGCCTAAGGTGCATTTGTAGATTGCCTACGGATACTAGATGATGATATGCGGCCATCGAAGGCAGGTAGCTTATGTAACGCACTCTACGAAGTACATGCCTGCCTCACCAAGGTAGCAGCATGGGAATGTACGAAGTACCTCCTCTTTGCGCTCTACGCGACCCGATCCACGACGAGAAAGTACCTCTTTCCGCGGTGCCTGCCTTATTACAAAGGGAAGGGGGTGAGTCTGTCATGGAATATCGGGAAACTACCTACGAGAACCCACCTACACAATTTCAGAATTCCTTACAGAGAGGCAACCTGCATCGCGAGCCTACCTATGTACAACGAATTCCTTTCCATGCCGACTTTGCGATACTTGCTCCAGAAGAACCTCCTCTATTATATGATCACGTCCGCTCGACTGTGCAACGCTTGACTGGACTATTTGTCGTCAACTGAACTTCGAAATGGTGTCTGTCTGGTATTCGTCCAGGACCATACATCTTCGACTCTGCTCAGACTACCTCACGAAGCAACTCTCCATCTGTGTCCGTGACAGAAGTGCCCTGTTCCTCACACTCTACTCGCACTAATCCGGTCAGGCTACGTCCGTACGGAGGAGAGATCCGCTTCTCTACCCATTTTCAACTGCCTATGATTAAGATCGCGCAAAGCCGTCGTCAATGCCAACGACACCAACCGAAGGCAAAGCACCAACACTCGGTCAAAGTCTTGGAACCAGCTACGCCTCCTGACTGGACAAAACCTTCAGCACCTACCTGGAATGGTATTTCTTCGCTCTCCAAGCCCTGTCGATATTCCACCACCTGCCCCGTATGAGACGACGAGTTTCGTTCTAGGTGTTATCATACTGGCCTCGCCCTCTTGTCGCTTTGCCGCGATAGACATTTTGGAGGCTGCGCTTGCTGCTCTCCCCTCCATATGACTTTGGATATGGCAATGTGCAGTGCTGTCTCTAGGCTCCTCTGGATCTCTGGAGTTTCGCATGTACGCATCAAACCATGCAATTACAGCTTGGTCTAATCACCCTGGCGAGATGCTCGCTGCACAAGAAGTCTAAAAGGGCTTCATCCGACACCAAAGTCTTGGTTAACGCCCACCAAGGCCCGCTCGGAGCATCACGCCTGGATACAGAAGAGAACCATGGAATCGCGACCTGTTCTTCAAGCAGGCATTCATGCCCGGCCACCCTGCCTCATTCGAAAATCTGTCTGTTCAAATGCTGCTTGATACTTGATATCTCAGAGTGGGTGACCCGTCTAGGACCCCCCCCCCCCCTAGCCCGTCCCAGGCATCGACAGGGGTTCCTCACGGAGGGCTGCCCCCTGCCCCAGTCTCGCGACACTGCGACCGACTGCATTAGAAAAGAAAGCGGGCAGGATTGCTGCGGCGAAGTGGCTCCCCGGCTTGCGTAGATGAGGTGCGGGAGCGATCACTATCCATCGTTGAGCCCCAGAAGAGGCCTGACGGTAGCCCATGCCGGCCAAACTTGCCCACCATCTCACTACCACAACCACGCCCACCACGGCCATCACCCGAACCTCACATCCATGATCCCACGCTTTCACACTATACTCAGCAATTAGAGTGGGGCATAGAGGAGTCATCAGCTAGCATGCCATCTGGCATCAACGTTCATGATCAAGAAGTCGGACGAAGTCTAGTCATTCAGATTCGAGCAAAGAGTAGCAATCACTGCTTCAAACGAGCAGGGCGCATCGTTTGCTGCTTCACAGGAGTTTACAGCAGAAACAGCCCGCTCTATCCGCACTCTTTCCGGCTAGTCCGGCTTAGAAGGTGACTCGATCAGCGTCCTTCCGAACAACCTTGGGTCAGCTCCTCTCTTCGTCCTTCAGCGTCCCCTGGCCGCTTTAAGGCTCCAGAGCATGGGCTCAGATTTGATACTCTGATTCGACTCAGCTTCACCCGCCAATTCGAGAAGAGTGAAGCACAATCACAGGCAAAGATGTTGATTTCTGGTCCCCAGCAAGGTCTCCAAAACGCAGCATTCGTTCCCTCCTCGTCGAACGTCTATGAATTTCGGCTAATCGTCGCTCCAGGGCGTGTGATGCGGCCCAAGCAAGCAGGAGCTTGCTTCGGTAGGTAAACTTCGAAACAGTGCAGAAGGCGGCTGGGCGGCCCTTCACTTACAGTATGAAGGATTTTCAGTCAACAGGACAGTCTCATTTGCCACCAGAAGAGCAGTCTGCTGTCACCTCAATATTATACGCTTAATCACGCACGGAGAAAGGGAGCATCCCTACAAAGTAGTTGCGAAACAACAGGGCGCATAGTCATTCTGTGTCTTCCTGACGCATCGTATGCAGATGGCCCAACTTGGAATGTAGCACTATGCCATGGATTTGTTCCCCTCCGCCATACCTGCGATGAGCTGCAACTTGTAAGACTTCCGTTTGACGACTCTGGATCCTCGTCCCAAAGATTGCAAGAAACATTAAAGCGGCGATTTCTACCAATCATCCTTAGCTCCTCTGAGCTACTTTGAGGACCCCGTTACTTCTAGGTTGGCCCCGCTGGTCGAAAACAGCAGTTTTCAGCATCACCAAGCTATTCTCGAAGCAGCAACAATGTG